TAGGCTGTTCAGGGAAATGCTAATCGCTGGTTTGTGTCCCTTTTGTCAGTTTAACAGTCAGGCACATCGTGCATCGATCAAAAAGGTGCCAGTTTTATGGTCAGGGATAGCACTTAGAGAAAGCAACTTTTCCACCCCCCTTCCGTTGGGGTCTCTTCAGCAGTCTGTTGAAGTTGATCTTTAACCCCCCTGAGAGAGATTTGGAGTAGCTCCAAATTTATTTAATATAAAATGCACAAATCCACACCGTTGTCCCACTACAGGGCCCTCAGTCTGAAGCCCAACCCGACTCTGAACAAAGGAACCTTTCTGCAAAAAATCTGCTCCGTGTTTTAACAACACAAAGGTTAGAACTGGAACAAACTTCGAGTTTACCAAACTCTGAAAGCCAATTCTGATCCAGCACAACCAGCCAACAAGGTGCAAGAGATGTGATCCGCCTTCTGAGAGAGACAACCGACTCAAGCCGAGTCGCCACCCTCTTGGGAGCTCCACAAGATGAATCAGTCAGTCACCAAACACATCTGAGCATGCCTCAGAGTGCCCCACAGACAGAGTGGACCAACAGGAGAAACAAAATACTTTTCCTTTGATATCGGGGTTGATGCTAGATGCTATTATTAAAGATAATTTAGCATTCGACCAGGAAGGAATTGCCCCTCAATTCTCGTGATATGAAATGGTAACTATTTCAAACATGCTTCTGAAACAAACTCTCATTTGCTGAACGGTGCATAAGGGGAATTTAATGATCAATGACAAAGTTATCCACTGATCTAATTACACTGGTCCTCAAAGACTTATCAATTATTCATTTCTGTACTCATAAGATACATGGTTGTATTTTTCTATTCATTTGTGTGTCTAATAGGTATTATTTGTTCGTGTAATAAATGTTTCACATATAAAGTCATTGCACTTTGTTTTCTGTAACTTACTTTCAGTCACTTTACGTATCTGGTCCTTTTTACCTCTTGCTATTTGATTTAAGGTTAATTCCCTTACAAAGTTAATTTGTGCATTATGTCTTGACAAATCAAGAGACGCGGCCTAGTGTAAAATGGAGCTATATTTTAACTACATGTTAATGGTGGAGAATGTTAATTAAATTTCAATATAAATCACATAATAAAATATACAATTTCAGTGAAAGTCAATAATAGATAATACTGAATAATGGTTCAGTATGACCGTGTAGAATTGTGGTTAAAAACATATTGTACCTAGTTTTCATGTATACACAAAGTTCAGAGAATGTAAAGTTATATAATTGGTTTAAAATCATGAAAATCCAATGCTTAAAATGAGTTTTTTATCCTGGGAAAGAAAAATGTTGCATTGCTTCCCTTACTGAATTCTTAAAAGTTCAACTTAGACACTGAATACTTATTTTCCAATAATAGAGGAATATTAGCTTATGTATAAAATAAAATTGAAAATTGAAAATTGAATGTTGATTTAACATTGGAGTTGTAAAGTTACCTTCTCTTAACCCTCACTTCAGCAGCTCTCAGCAGCTCAGCCTATTTACATGTGCTGTGATCTGTTGTTGGAATTTCTTTCCGGGTCAGATTGATCACTTAGCTCCCCATCAGCACTATCTGATCTTCTTTTAAATGTACTGATTCCAAATCCTGATGTTCTGCTCTAGGTGACTGTGATGATGGACATCAGTCTTCACAGTACGTTTTTGGCAAATTCTTCTTTTTGTGATCATGTATTATCATGTTATCATTATTGATATCATACTGATTACAATAACAACTTGCTCATGGTGGGAAATGTTGGGTCGCGTATTACGAAGAACATGGTCTAGACCTGCTCTGTATGAAAAGTGCAATTAGATAACTTCTGTTATGAATTGGCACTAGATAAATTCCCAGAGACATCACCCTGCCAACATTGCTGGTGCTGATGTACTGCGGTAAGCGTGTTGACTCATTTCCGTTTCCGGTGCTTGTGTGTTGGTAGCGTGTTTTGCTGCTCTCGCTAATATCAGTTAATAGTAATAGTAATAACAGTTACATTTGTTAGATTACAGCAGCCAACTGTCCGCTAAACACTTATTCTTTACAGTAATTTTGCCTAAGCACTCACAGTTCTTTCCATCTTTTAGTGACTGCTGTTCAATCTCATAGTTGTTCTAAAGTTTTGGTAGCTGACGCTACAGTACTTTAGCTTAGCCGTTAGCGACTTTAGCTTAGCAGCTAGCGATGGCTTCTCCTTCTCCCTCTCTCTCTCCTACTTTCTCCTGCTCGGTGTGTCAGATGTTCAGTTACTTCTCTGCCTCCTTTAGCGGTAATGGTACGTGTAATAACTGTAGATTATTTATAGACATGGAGGCGAGGCTCAGTGATTTAGAAGTCCGGCTCCGCACCTTGGTAGATCAGTCTTTTCAATTCAATTTCAATTTTATTTATATAGCGCCAAATCACAACAACAGTTATCTCACAGCGCTTTTCATAAAAGAGCAGGTCTAGACCGTACTCTGTGATGATATTTACAGAAGCCCAACAGTTCCCACCAAGAGCAAGCACTAGGCGACAGAGGCAAGGAAAAACTTCCTTTTAAGAGGCAGAAACCTCGAGCAGAACCATGGCTCAGGGTGGGCGGCCATCTGCCTCGACCGGTTGGGGGTGAAAGAGAGAGAGAGGGAGAGAGAGAGCAGGAGAGGAATAGAGAGAAAAAGAGAGGGATGTAAGGAGAGAGAGAGGGGAGGGAGACAGCCTACACAATATACACACAGAGGTACAGACAGTGAAGTTGATGTTTCTATAGACTAAATGAAAAATGGTACAGATATTTATAATAGTGTTAATGGTAACAATCATAATGTTAATGATTATAATAACAATAATAACAATAAGACTAGCAACAATAGTCGTTGCAGCAGAGGGTGTCGAGCAGGAACACAGGGGCAGCAGGTGACCCGCAACCACAGATCCAGACTCCACAGCTCCAGAGCCAGAAAACCTGCAGGAAGTGATAGGAGAGAGGAGAGAGACGAGAAAGCACAAGACTACCAGAAAGGGGAGAAGTTGTGTTAGTAACATGCAATAATGGGATGAGGTTGCATACAGAGGGAGAGAAAGTAGAGGAGAGAGGAGCTCAGTGCATCATGGGAAATCCCCCGGCAGTCTAGGCCTATAGCAGCATAACTAAGGGATGGTTCACGACTCACCTGAGCCAGCCCTAACTATAAGCTTTATCAAAGATGAAAGTCTTAAGCCTACTCTTAAATGTGGAGATGGTGTCTGCCTGCTGAACCCAAACTGGAACCTGGTTCCACAGGAGAGGAGCTTGATAGCTGAACGCTCTGGCTCCTAGTCTACTTTTGGAGACTCTAGGAACCACAAGTAACCCTGCATTCTGGGAGCGCAGTGCTCTGGTGGGGTAGTAAGGTACTATGAGCTCTTTAAGATAAGATGGTGCCTGACCATTAAGAGCTTTGTAGGTAAGAAAATGATTTTAAATTCTTTTCTGGATTTTACTGGAAGCCAATGCAAAGAAGCTAAAACAGGAGAAATGTGATCTCTTTTCCTGGTTCCTGTCAGAACACGTGCTGCAGCATTCTGGATCAGCTGAAGAGTCTTAATGGACTTTTTCGAGCAGCCTGATAATAAGGAATTGCAGTAATCCAGCCTAGAAGTAACAAATGCATGGACTAGTTTTTCTGAATAATTTTTAGACAGGATGTTCCTGATTTTAATTTTAATGTGAGACTTAAACGACATGTCCTGATCAAAGATAACTCCAAGATTCCTCACAGTGGTGCTGGAGGCCAGGGCGATGCCATCAAGGGAAACTATATCTTTAGATAATGCGTCACGGAGGTGCTTAGGCCCCAGAGCAATAACTTCAGTTTTATCTGAGTTTAACATGAGAAAATTACAGGTCATCCAGGTTTTAACATCCTGAAGGCACATTTGAAGTTTAGCTAACTGATGAGTTTCATCTGGCTTGATCGATATATATATATATAACTGAGTATCATCTGCATAACAATGAAAGCTTATGGAATGTTTCCTGATAATATTGCCTAAAGGAAGCATATATAAAGTGAAGAGGATTGGTCCGAGGACAGATCCTTGAGGAACTCCATGACTAACTTTGGCATGCATGGAGGACTCATCGTTAACATGTACAAACTGAAATCAATCTGATAAATAGGACTTAGAGCGGTTCCTTTAATGCCAATGAAATATTCCAGTCTCTGCAATAGGATCTGATGGTCAATGGTATCAAATGCAGCACTAAGATCTAATAAAACCAGTACAGAGACAAGTCCTTTGTCTGATGCAATAAGGAGGTCGTTAGTAATTTTCACCAGTGCTGTCTCTGTGCTATGATGAGCTCTAAATCCTGACTGAAAATCCTCAAATAAACTATTGCTCTGTAGAAAGTCACACAGCTGTTTAGCAACTGCTTTCTCCAGAACCTTAGAGAGAAATGGAAGGTTAGATATAGGTCTATAGTTGGCTAAAACATCCGGATCAAGTTTGGGCTTTTTCAGAAGAGGTTTAATTACAGCTACTTTAAAGTACTGTGGTACATAGCCTGTTGACAGAGATAGATTGATCATATCTAGTACAGAAGTGCTGACTAAGGGTAAAACATCTTTAAGCAGCCTAGTCGGGATGGGGTCTAAGAGGCAGGTTGATGGTTTAGATGAAGAAATTATTGAAGTTAGTTCCCACATAGCAAAACTGGTCTGGCCCAGTGACGGGCCACACAACACACTTAGACTCGGCCCAGATACATCAATGAATTACGGTCCACAAGTGGTCCATATCTGGTAGCTAGAACACGGGCCACATATGGCCCATGATATAGCCATATCTCAGCCCACTGTATGACTATAGCTGGCCCTATTTTGGACCATACCTGATTTTTGCACTGTTTCCACATGTCAGCCTCAACTAAACCTTCACCATGCCACTTTAATTTTATACAGTTGCCGTATTTGGCCCAGATTACAAAAAAAAAAAAGCCTCAATACAGACGTTTTATGAAAAATATTTATTGATTTTTCCACATCAAGCCATTTTCAAAACTGTAAATTTTATTTGCCAGACAATCTCTTCCTCTCTTTTTTCCAGTCCCCTCCTCCACTTATCTCCTCTCACCTCAACCCCCCCACGTCAGCAGTGCATTTGTAAAAATGTACAGACAAATAGGAAATTCTTGTACAAAACACTTGTACATAAAAGATTTTTGAACATAGTTTGGCGTGAGGATCTCTCCGGCACAGAAATTATGGTATTTATTTCCCACAACATCCAGACCAGGTTAAGTGTTTTAGCCCAGTCCAGGTTAGCAAACACGGATCCAGCCTCCTGCTGTTCCAGCTGAAATTCAGTTAGATTTTGCACTTGTAAAACACACACAACTTTTGAACATCCATGCTATGTTTCAGTCCATGAACCCGTTGTACTCTGCACACAACTTTCGTCCAGGATAACAAACACAGTCCTGGCCTCCCGCTGTTCCAGCTGAAATTCAGTTCGGTTTTGCACTTGTAAACTTGTGAAACACTTGACAAAAAACAACTTCTGAACATCCATGCTATGTTTCAGTACATGAACCCGTTGTACTCTGCACACATGTCTATGCCATGTTTCAGTTCATTAAATTGTTTACTGCTGTCCTGCTCTCTTCACGCTCTTTTCTCCTCATCCTCTCCCTCCTGCCACCATCCCTATCCGGAGCCAGATGAAGCCATCTTTTGATGGTGGAATCTATTTCTTGGTCCGTGGCCCCAGATGTCAGACGGTTACGCCTCACAGCAGCTAAAAAAAAAAAAAAAAAAACACACACAATTAACTTGTGACTACAGGATTTTAAAGGACAGAGTACAATATGAACCAGTAATGGCTGCCTATGGCTTTCTACTTAAACTGATCTGCAAAATTATGGTCTCTGCATGTAGATATCACACCAGAATGTCTGTCAAAAGGGCGTTGGTTCAGTTTAAGGGAATTTTTCTTTTAAAGCAACCAGCCATTCTCAATTTCCCCTGCCCGAATCAATTATCTCTAAATAAGTCCTATTGTATCTATTCCAATAAAAGATAAATCACGGTATTTCCTCTCCTCTGCTCATCACCTCACCCGTCTTCTCTTCCTCTACTGTCCTCTAATGACCCTTCTCCTGTCCACCCCTACCCTCATCTCTCTTCCTGTCTTCTCCTTTCAGCTCCTTCACTTTTCTCACCTGCTTCCTTTCCTCTACTTTCCTTCACATTTCCTCATCTTGTCCATCCCTGCTTTCCTTCCTTCCTTCTTAAGACCCTGAACTATCAAGTTATATAACTGTTAATGGTTCTTAAACATATACATGCCAATGTTGGTATGAAGGCCAACTTACCAATCACAACATCTCTTATCTGTAGGCGCTGAAAGCCAATCTTTCCATTTATTCCTCTCATGTTGATATTCTTCGCCAAGGAGTTTGTAATCATTGCGTGCATAATCCTCCAAACACACTCACGAATGTCAGTCCCCCCTTTGAGAGCCAGCGTGTTCACCTGAAATCATATTTCTTAATTAGTTTTTTCCCCCCAGCAATGGTTTCATATTTACGTATTTTAAGGAATGGATAGAATGTATAGCATAAGTAAGTGGTGTTCCTGTAGCTAGCTGCTTAGTTTTGATGGATTTACTTATCATGGCAACCTTTAAGTTTCAGGCAACAAGGAAGAATGTTGTTTCAACATAAAAAAAGTACAGTTTTGCAACAAACACTTGTAGCATACATTTATGATTATGGCAGTTGCCGGAAAATAAATTTAAGGCTGGTTTTGTCCTTTAAAGTTAGTTTTAAAATATATAAACCCACATGAAAAACATGTTACACTGTGCTTAAGCAGGGTACCCCCAAGATTGTCCGAATTAAATTTAAGACTTTTAAAGACCTTTGTAATACCACTTAGAATGAAATTTAATGCCAATTTAACAGCCATACTGGCAAAAGTATGAAGGATATAATGGAAAATCAGTATGGATTTTACCAGGTACTTAAATTTTAATATACATTTGTGCACACTCCACGATCACACTAAACTTTAAGATTAGTTCAGTAGTTGATAGATTATTTTTAATGAATAAGAGACAGCAGCAAAGGTTGTTGCCTGTTTAAGACCTGGTGGCCTAATTGTTAAAGAAACAGTAATATTATTCAGGAAACTCAGATCAAACAGCTGATCAGTCTCTGTTGATAAACTTTAGGGAAAAGTTTGACATTTCAACTCTGGCGGGCGCGTGAGACGAGCCGCGACAGTTTCACGGGATTCGTGCCAGCTACACAGAAGCCGTTGCCATGGTTACCTCGTGGAGTGCTTGTTTGCCTGAGTGCAGAGCGACCACGCGGATCAAAGCCGTCTGAAAAGGCCTTACAAACCTTGTCGCAACCATTCACAAAAAATTAATTTAAAACTTGCCAAAACATAAGGACTTAAAAAGCTACCATTCATACAGCAAAGTGTAGGCTATATAGTCTAGGTGATTGATCAATCGACAACAAAGTCAAAGTAAACATTAGATAGCCTATAACAAGCAATAATCAAAACATACCCAATTTATCCGATCTTACTGTCAACTTAGTGTTGTTCAGAAATAATACAGCTACTTACTAGTTACTTAGCATATACTCCTTAAAAAAGTAATATTAGCTACTCTCTTTTACTGGGTGATTAACGCCACTCTCACCGCATGAGTCCAAGCATCACTGGCAGCGGCCGGAGTTTCTTTCTGAGTTTCACGTTGCTGTGTTGCTTTAGCTGATGCTTCAATTAGCTTAAGTATAAATGCAGAATTGTTCGCGGTCAAAAACTTTTTGCTGGTCGCACAAGGTTTACAACGGACGGCAATGTTCTTTGCATCTTAGACTGTGACACAATAATGGCAATAAAGTTATTTACAGCGGTCGAAAATACCTCTCTCTGCCTGTTCTCCACTTTTCCTTTAGCTTCTTGGCTAACAGCTGACTTGAAATGCAGAAGGGCCGGTGCCACTGAGCTGCAGCGCGGTCGCACATTCACGACAGGGATGGTGCGTTCAGTAGCGCAGTGTTATTTGGATTAGTAACTGTAATAATATAACTGTTTTGGAAGTAGTAATCCCTTACATTACTCTTTACCCGGAAAAGTAATATTGCAGTATTACTGCCCAACACGTTACGTACTACTGATGCGCGAGAGCGACTGTGGTACACACTGTACAGGAAGAAAACTTTACACATGTCAGCCTGTAGATGTCCTCAAATCCTTTCCATTTCACTCAGTGAGCTCCTGTTTAAATTGTTTTTATTACAGATCTGCATGATTCATGCGGGTCATATTTTCAGGTCGGAAAATCAGGAATTCCGGATTAATCCAGAAAAATCACATCCCTGATATTTAAATAGTATTTCCTTTTTTGTTTTTGTATATAGTGTTTTGATCATAAAAAATTAAATGCTTTTTTATTACTTTTAAATCCCTGCGGGTACCTGGTCAGGTTTTCATGAGAGAATTTAAGGAAAATAAAAGCTAGCCAGCTAAGTAGGAAATATGTCACTGTATTTGATATGCCAACATACCAACTGTTTCTGGAGGTCAGGAATACTCTGCAGTTGTTCCTCCAGGTTCTGAAGAGAACTGACGTCTTTGACGGGCAACAAATTTCGATCCAGGCCTATCTCTGCCTCATCAGTCGCTTTCATACCCTGTAGGGTCTTAAAGATGATGCGCAGTTGGTCCATCATCATTTCCTGTTTTGTTAATATACTACGCAGAAGGGCTAAGAAGAAAACAAGCAAGAAAGATAGATTAGAAACAGTATAAAACTAGTTAAGCCACCGAACTGATAGTCTTATCTGACCTCTGTTAGTCATCTGTGTATACTTAATGTTGGAAGTCTTATTTTCCTCATTATCTGAAGAAACCATTTAGCCAAATAAAGAATTCATACAATGTAACAAACATCATTGAATACTCACAAGTTTGCAGACTGGATGTCTGCTCCCTGGTCTGGTGTGCCTCGGGGTGCCTTGATGGGAGTATAGATCGTTCGGTGTGCCTCGGCGACCGGCGGCTCTCGGTGCTGGCGTGCCTCGGCGACCGGCGGCTCTCGGTGCTGGCGTGCCTCGGCGTCCGGCGGCTCTCGGTGCTGGCGTGCCTCGGCGTCCGGCGGCTCTCGGTGCTGGCGTGCCTCGGCGTCCGGCGGCTCTCGGTGCTGGCGTGCCTCGGCGTCCGGCGGCTCTCGGTGCTGGCGTGCCTCGGCGTCCGGCGGCTCTCGGTGCTGGCGTGCCTCGGCGTCCGGCGGCTCTCGGTGCTGGCGTGCGGCGGCTCTCGGTGCTGGCGTGCCTCGGCGTCCGGTTCTCAGTGTTGGTGTGACAGCTTGAAGGAAACTTGGAAGTACAGGAGTGCTGACTTGGGCTTGGCTCAGGACTGCTGTTGCCACTTGGTGGGAAGTCAGGACTGCTGTTGCCACTTGGTGGGAAGTCAGGACTGCTGTTGCCACTTGGCTGGAGGTTCTGGCCTTGCTTCCCTGGCTTTAATGTAGGAGTTTTGTACTGCCTAGGGATCTTTGGAGCATTGGGCAATGTGACTTTCAGGGTGCTTTCCATCTCGTCATCGTCTTCCCCAGGGAAAAGAATATTCTTGCGTCTAAAAACACATTTAATAATTTTAAGAAACAGTATGTGTGCGCGAGTGCATGCATATTGACTACCAGCTATATACAGCGTGCTAGTCTCGAAAATCCAGCTGCTTATAACATTAACTTAGCTCTCCTTATTAGCTAGGCTCCTTACATGCTTGCTAATAATAATAATAATTTGTGCAGCTGTGTTCCATGAGGGAGAGAGGGAGAGAGAGAGGTACAGGTGAGTGAGAGAGAGAGAGGGACGAGTGAGAGAAAGTGCTGCATTAATGCGCTACGGCGCTCTGCAATCAAATACGATTTTAAATAGGCTTAGTAAAAAATAATCTAAAATCAATGTGTGGCAGTCAGCGTTGATATTGTGGCGGGCCGCCACAAATAAATGAACGTACGGGAAACACTGCTGCAGATTTATAAAAAAACAAAAAACATACATTCTTTTTCTTTTAAATTTAATTGGCAAGTCCCCTCCGTCACTTCCAAGGTCAGTGTGATCGACAGCCTGAGGTAGTTTAAGCCTTGCTTCATTGTAGTCATCTAGAAAAACAAAATACAGGGAAAAAAAGTAAATTTAAGTGATATTATGATCTATCATTAGATCAATTTAAAAGGTAGAGGTGATAACACTTAACTTACGTGATGTGAAGATAATTCTGGCCTTATGGGGCATCCATCCATCTCCAGGACATTCTTGAGATTTTACAGCTTTTGCCACATCAATTTTATTTGGAGGCCACATACACTCTCCATTTTCTATCCAGACTGAAGGCACAACTTCAACCTCATTTGTGTTGTCAAAGACAACAATATGAAACATCTGAAAATAAGCAACCATGACTACATAAATTCCATAGCCAACTAAAATACAAGAGCAACTTCAGGGTTACTAGTTTCAATGCAAGAGTGGAACAACAACAAATCTGTTTCGAAATGGTAATCTTACATACTTCTGTAGCTTCTTTTCAATCATAAAACACTTGATATTGGTGGAGAGGTTGGAAACCACATAAATTTCCAACTCTTTTGAGTCAATTGGATATTTAAAGAAATGTTCCACCTGTTTATATTCATTACCCACAAGGTACACAATTCCTTTATCCTCAACAATGTTTCGGACTAAAACAAACTTGTTATCGACTTTGATACAAGAATCTCTCTCATTGGGCTTCACAACTATATCATCAATAGCCAATACTTTAAATTGACGAACATGTTGTGAGAAGCACTCTGGCACTGGCCCGCCCATATGCTCTTTATCCAGTTTTTGAGTTGCCTCTTTAACATCTGGACTGTAGCTGCCATTTTCCATTTCTGATAATCTGCGTAACACCTGAGTCAAAGGATTGCATGGCCCCCGAACCAATTTTTTAAGTTTTCCTAAGAAATTTTCATAGGGAAATGCTGATATAAGATCTAAATTGCCATGTATTTTGACATCTTCACTGAGATGCAACAGACCATGAATATTGTAAACCCAAAACTCTTCACCATAAAGCTGTCCAAAGTGTTCAAAAAATGAAACCAGCAGAGTGTGAGCAAGGTCGTTCATCTCCATACAATATTTTGGACTTGCCAAAATATACACACCTACTGACAAAAGCATGAAGTTGTCATAGATCTGAGGTTTTAAAACACCCCTCAGCACAACCGGACCAGTGTATAACAAGAATTGGCGGAATTCTGTGGCTTTCCACCTACATCGTTCAGCCAGTGCCCGTGGCCTTCGAGCAAACTCACTGGGAATGTAATTTTTCAGAGCAAGAAGTCTATCCGTAACCATGGAAGCTAGACTAGATGAAATGCGACAGCGCAAAGGACCAGTGGTGCTGATCCACAAATCTAAGAGACGCCTCATTACACCCAGACAAACCAGGTGCATATAATCGTATGGGAAACAAGCCACCATGTCAATGCCAACATCTGCAAGAGGTGAGTGATGGATGTGATGTTCCTCATCTACTGCTTGCCTAAAACTGTCATCCGTTCTGCGCCTTGCATTGACCTCAGGAAATGTCATTCGATTAGATTTGCGGACACCCGTTTGGTGACACTTGTCACACCCATGGTATCCAGTGTGTGACTTCACACCTCTTATGAAGGCTCGGGCTGGGGTATCGCACACAACAGAAACAACATTCACAAAGAAGGTTTTCTGCTTGAACAGAAACCCACTTTTCAACATTTTCAACTCTTGAACCAGATTATGAAGATACTCGGCCAACGAATTTGGCTTAGAAGTACCACAAAACAGTCCGATCAACATTGGTTTCTTGGTGTATCTTTGCAACATACCAAGAATTGGCCAAAACTGTGTACTAGTACTCTTGCAAAGCGGCAGACCATCAAAATTCAACTGCAGTTTAAAAGCATGTCCGTCTGGCACTGTAGACCACACTTTATCTAGAATTTTCCTGATAGAATTCAGAATTCCACAATAGTGGAACACACCACCAGCTACACTGTTAATGTTGTAGCAAGTTTTTGTTTTCAGCAGTGTTCGTCCATCCTTTGGCAGAGAGGGATGGTAGATTTTGAGAATGCTGAGAAGCGCTGACAGAGCTATTAGAGAAATACCAAATTCAACTGCCCAATCTGCCAGAGAGCTCCGCAAATCACCATCACTATGACTGCACTGTTCTCCAAGATCAGGCAGATCCTCAACAGAAGCTACAGTCTCTTCATATACTTCCTTTTCCTCAACATGAAGACACTGATCACTTTCTTCATCACTAAATAGCATCTCAGATTCTCAGAATCATCAACACAATCACCTAACTCTAAATTGGCATCCACCATCCCTCCCCTATCCAGCTCATTTTCAATCAGTTTACTGACTGTCTTTAATGCCCTTCTTCGTGCATTGCCCCTATCATTGTACATCCACGCCTTTTCCATACCGTGACTTTCCTCAAACTTTTGTCCTTCAACCTGAAACAGACAAAGAAGAATATACCAAATTACAATTTTTTTATGTTATATATTTATTTAGCTTAAAATGAGAATGAAATATCAATGACAAGAGCTAAGCTATTCTGCAATTAAATATAGATTACATTAGGGTGTTCGATTATTGCAAAAGTCATAATCACAATTAATCTGGTAAATATTGAGATCACAATTATTTAAAACAATTACTGCCTTCGGGAACATCCTGCATTTATTGAACTTTTAAAATTGAATTCTTTTTTCTTTTTTAAATAATAATGCATTAAGCCAAAATCCCAAATAGCCCAAATAAGAAATAGTAATCCAATAACGTTAGTATTAAAAGACAGCAAGCAGTGTTTCCCCAGGTTGAGGATGGGCCATTGATGGGGCTTCATGTCTGTGTGTATTAACGTCAGTCAACCTTACACACGCAGCAGAGCAGGTGACATATGAACTACTCGAGCTGAACTAATTATTTCAAAATTATTTCAAGATTAGTGACACTGCATTGATATAGATAATCTTGTAATACGTAAAATATTTTTTCTGCGTGTTTGAAATTTAAAGGAGAGCTGCACGGCCATGGCGTGATGGTTGCACGCGCATCTCCAAATGCCGCTAAATTCAAAAATCCTGCCGTTACTTTTCAAAACTACATTAAGTTAACGTTAGCTAATCTATATCAAGGCATATCACTTAGCTTGAAAGAATACCATTCTCTAATGTTATCTAAATTTAATTGCAAAATAGGTTAACCAAAAATAGCACTTTTCACAAGCTTACTCGGAAATAACATCTTTTTAATAGCCTATGACGATTAGCTAGCTAGCTAACGTTAGCTTATACCTAGCCTAGCCCCATCCTTACAGTAACATTCAAGCTAGACTCCCGACCTCTCCCGAATGTTAGCTTTGTGAGCTAACAGCAAATGTAATAACTAAAAAAGTAACGTTTTCATAAACATGAAATTATTGTTTTTCACTCACCACTTCTTTGCTGGCTTGTAGCCACAGTGCTCTGGGCAACTTGCTATTCCCCAAACTAGTCCGTGACCGTGAGTGCAGTGAGTCAGCACTCTCTCTTTTTTCTTGGTAGTCTCGACCGTTGGCTCGTTCCAGTGACGTCCCTGTCCACGGCCCTGGTGCAGCCGACACTGAGTGGATACGTTGATAAATTCAATTGATTGACATCAGAACGTTAACGCCTACTATTTCCAGGGCCTTGTTTCAGAATTAAAATTCCCATTAGTTTTTCCTTTTCAGAAGATCACCATTTCAAGACGGCTTGAATGGAGCTAAATCCCTACAGGATCATGACATTATTTGAATTAATTCCTAACAAAAAATAAATAAATCTTAAAACGTTTTTTTACTGGCAAGGTACAAAAATAGTGGAGGAGGTGTCTAGATTTTGTATTTTAAAAAAGAAAAAAAAAACTCATCATGGGCCTAATTTTTTTAAATTTGTTTGTTTACAAATACAAGTCATGGAAGTATGCTTTTAAATAATTATTAGCACCTTACTCAAAAATATCTGAAATTAAACTGTGGGACAAGACCGGTCATACATCTGTGGCCCACATTTCTAATTTGACATCTGGGCCAAATACAACGCTCAACAACTGGCCCATATCTTGTTTGCCGCCTTAAAGGCGGTGCCATTGTCTGCCACACCTGGGCCATGTTCGGTTCATATGCCTTATGCCAGTGCCGACTCAGTGCCAGCAGTGCCAGCTTTAAGCCAAATCTGGGCCAAATGTCACTGCTATGTGGGTTGGTAAAGATTGAGGGAAGCAAAACAGTCTAAACATGTATCTGGTTCTACAGCTGTTTCTAAGGTTCCTGAGTTAAGAGATAAGTCGGTGCCAGTTGAGGGCAGGTCTTGGTGAATTTTGTCTCTAATAGCTAGAATTTTAGCTACTGTAGCTAGCCAGTCCCCGGTAGTCGGTGCGGAACGGCCTGGGTTAGCCTCTGGTAGCCGTCCTCTCCTGAGCAGCCAGGAAAGGGGGGGGGGGCTGGGTGACTGTCCGAAGGAGGA